TTCTCTCACGGTACGCAACAGAATTTGATAATATATACACCATTGGATAGAGGAAGTCTTCCTCTACAAACCTACATATATCCCGTTTTGTGGTCAAAACATCATAGTCGCCTTTAAAGTTAGTCGGCTTTGAGTTTTTAGATCAATCCACTGTTACAAATAGATGATATTTACGATAAAATTGAAGAGGAAATAATGGCTACAATTGTAACGGAATATTTAAAACTTATTGTATACAAACTGGAAGCCCGCATGCAGGACTATTATTTTGGTGATCTTGCAAAACATGTTATACTAAATATTGTTCGTATTCATGCTGAAGTTTATTCTGTTTCTCATTTACTCGTTTTTGATGTTATCTCACGTGTACTTGACAAATGTATCAGTGATCACTTACTTCAACATGCATGCGTTAGCGATGATCTATTAGTGATACGTGAATGTTTTAATCGATATATGACAGATACAACAATAACAAAATTAAATGAACATATATCACAAACATCGACGAATATCAATAGTGATTGTGTTGATAGATTTCTCAAACAAATGCATTTATATTTGACTTCATTCACATAGACGTAGTGTGTGCATGTTTTGTTCCCTTGACTTTAGTCTAGGGTATTATACAATGGTTGTCTGTCTGTGTGTCCGTGCGCAAAATATGGAAAAATAGCTATTATATATTCCATGGATAAGCCAATCACAATCACAAGAGAGGAAAATAATTTTTTTTACAGAAAAAAGAAAATATTCAGAAAGATGACTGGGATAATATTTACAAACTTTTTCTGTAATCGAGGGTCAGATGTCGCCGGAAAGCAGTCAATTTCGATAACGTAAGTCATCTACGGATAATAAAAGTTACATACATTGTGCGCTTTTTCTGCGGAATCAGAGAAGTTCACAACATTTCTCAGTTACCCTGGGCTAAGATGCGCCGGGACTGAGTTTAGTCCTAGCTTATCCTGTTTCTTTATTGGTGCATACTATTCAAGTGAAATAAATCCGTCATATATATGACGGATTTATTTCACTTGTAACGATATCGTTACACCAACTACATTTTATCGCAGTCAGTCAATATCCCATACTCCCAATCAGCAAACACAACATATAATTTTATCATCATTGTCCAGTTTTAATACAGATTTACAATCCTTCATCAGCTCCCTCATTTACTTTAATCAACACTACTCATGTTGTCGGAAGCGGATGAAAACTGGCGGTTAACCACGGTTGCTTTAAGAACCAGCGGTTAACCGCGGTTATTTCGGCTCTTACCATAGCAACACAGCAGAAAAACGGATGCATGACCGCAAATTAACCGGGTCCGGTTAATTATGGGGTTAACCGTTGGTTTTTCTACAACTATCGTTTCATTTATACACTGCCAAAAAGCCTAATCAAAATTACGTATTAGCTCATCCAGTTCTACTTTATCGATGAAGAATTAATTCTAAAGGATAAATGTCAATCAATGAACTCACCCCTTTCGACTACGAAAATACTCCGTCTTCTTGTTGTTTCCCACTTCATAATTTTCAGTTTTCGTTTTCACTTTTTATCTTTTTTCAAAACTGACGAAGGAGAAATAACCCCTTCTATTTTCCATTTTGTTTTACTTTTATTTCACCTGTACATATCTGTATATGTCTGTTTTTTCGTTTCGTTCATATTTGAAGAAGGCTACCAGCCGAAACGCGTCGTGTCTTATCTCTCTTTTATTTTTCGTCTTTTACTTGTTCGTCATTATTCCTTACTTTTATCATTAAAATACCTAATTTTTTAAATAAAACTATCAATTCAGATCAATTCAATTATAGATACGTGTGTGTCCCGAAAAGGTTTTAGCCTTGTATTACATTGTGCGCAATTTCGTTGGAATCAGAGAAGTTCACAACATTTCTCATCATTCCTTGGTGCGAACGCCGACCGAAGGGTGGCGTGAGCATTGACTTCAATTGAGAAATATTTTTACACCTCTCGGGATCTTTTCGCAGAGTAATGACGAGGTTTACTGGAAAACTGACTCTCTGGAAATGTCTCAGAACCGTTTAGCATCCCATTATCGATGCGAGGGATCGCATCTGGATGCGCATCGAGTTCTGAGCAAAATGAGACTTTTCGGTGTCTTTCTAGGCTGAGTTATTGGCAAATCTCTTAAAGGATTTCGAGTCAGCCGGATCT